AACAGCCTTACTGCTTCAGGGTTTTCAGCTCTCTGTTTCCACTCACAGAAACCAAACACAATCTCCCTTCTTCCTTGGCAGGGGAGTACTTAATAGCACTGGTAATTGACAATCTTTTTCAGGTGAGTTAGATTAGGATTCAAACTCCAGAACTGGACTTCTCACCAAGCAACTTCCAAAATGTGGAGTGGAGCACTGGCCCACCCTACTCTCCAGGTGCTCCACCCCAGGGCCCAAATATACACATATTTAAAGTGCAACATTCATTAGAACATAACACATTTCCCTGGGGCTAATTACACAAAGTAAGAACCTTGCAAAATCTGGGGAGGTATATAGGTTCCTTCCAGCACAATTCCTTGCTTTCTGTCACAATATATATATATATATATATATATATATATATTTGTGCTCGGAATTTAAATACGTGATGGATAGTAACTGTGAGCAAAGTTGGTTGTGGTGTGCCGAAACCAACGTACGAGTGGGCCTGTAAATAAAAGAGGGCCCACCAAGGATAATGTAGTTAAAACAGGGTGTAGGTGGGTGGGGACAATCAGCTGAGCGGCAGCGGTGAGTAGGGGCTGGGAGCTTAAGTAGGGGACTTACTCCTCCCACAAATTCAGGCCTAATGGCCTTTCTACTTGTGCTCGGAATTTAAATACGTGATGGATAGTAACTGTGAGCAAAGTTGGTTGTGGTGTGCCGAAACCAACGTACGAGTGGGCCTGTAAATAAAAGAGGGCAAAAGATAAATTCGAGAAAATACACACTTTATTGCATTTTACAAGACCAAGTTTCTGAAAGCTTGGCGAAGCTCTTTCTCTGGTTGCGGAATATATGCGTTATATATGGAGGATTTCCATCGCCCGAGCCTTTTGATGATGTGGACCGGTGCGTTTGTGCTTGAGGCTGCTGAGGCGGCTCCTATGCGGAAGGAGTGCCCGGAGAATGCAGCCGGATTGTGTCCGAGCTTAGATAACAGGGTTCTGACATGTGACATCAATTTTGCCGTGGTAAGCGGGTGCCCTTGTAATGTTAAGAGCGGAGAGTCTGGCAGGTGAGTGCGAAAAGTTGACCGTAGTTGGTCGAGAACTTTCACCGGACACCAGGCATTATCAGTAGGGAAGAGAGGAATTATTGTAGGATGTATTGACCGGTTGGTTTTAGTGGTAGGGATAGAAAGGAGGTAGTGATCCTCTACCTTGGTGAGGTGTGAAGTTTTAAGGCATCGTGCGATATCTCCTTGACAAATCACTGTGAACTCTAGGTCTGAGAAAACCGTAGAAAGCGAGATATATGGCAGATTTTATCACCGTATTGGTGTAGCTATCAAATGGGGCTGTGTCAAGGAGATTGCTAAGAGACCTGAAGATAGGCCCGTCTATGGGTAATCTAGTGCTTGCGAGTGGTGGTGAAACCTTTGATATACCTTTCAAGACCTTTTTTATGGGGTATGAAGACAAAAAGGGGGTGCTGTTAGGAAAATTGGTGAGGCTGTGGTGCTGAACCCCGGTGAGGTAAAGTTTAATGGTGTTGTGTGACAGATTAAGGTGTAGGTGGCAGAAAGAGGCAAAAGACACCATGGTTTGGATAGAAAAGTCACCTTGTAGCCCGAATTCTGCAGTGAATTTGTTAAATATGTTAAGTGCCCTATTGTAAGTGATAGCAGTGTTGGGTGATAATGCTTGGTGAGTGAGTGATCTAGCGTGAAGCAAGAGTGTGCTTAATCCAATATTAGTTCGTGAAACCGTGGTGTCCTGGATGGCTGATGGTGAGCTGCTGGGAGTGCCTGAGAAAATGCCTGGAATCGAGAACGAGAAAGAGCGTCAGCGGCGGTGTTGTGAATACCCGGGATGTGAGAACATACTAAGTGAAACTGATTGGATGCTGCCAGCCAGGTCAACTTGCGAATCAGCCGCATGATGGTCAGGGATAATGAGGGCCCTTTGTTAATAATATCGCAAGCTGCCGAGTTATCTGAGTAGCATTTTACTGCCTTGCCGGACCAGAGATGACCCCAGGTGTGTGCGGCCGCCACAATGGGGTAAATTTCAAATAGGGTTGAGGTCTCCCTGAATCCTGGCAAGGCATCCGTCTCAGTGGGCCAGTGGCCCCTAAACCAGTGGTTCCCGAAAATGGCTGCGAAACCGGTGTTGGCTGCTGCGTCTGTGTGGATGATGGGTGAAGAGGTGGAGAGAGGGGGGATAAACATGGAGATACCATTCCAGTCTTTCAAAAACTTCCCCCACATAGCCAAGTCAGCCTTGGCGTGGGGGTCCAAAGAAACTGTGCCGGAGTCCGGGACTCCATGGAGCAGGCAAAGAAGTCTGGAAATAAAAGACCTTCCCTGCGGAATGATGCGCATGGCGAAGTTCAGAGATCCAAGAAGGGACTGAAGTTCTCTCCTGGTGCAAACGTCATTCCGCAGGAACGTGTCTATCTCCCCTCTCAATCGTGAAAGTTTGTCGTGTGGAAGGCTAGCTCTGAGTTTGACAGAATCGAGCTCTATGCCTAAAAAGGTCAACTTTGTTGTGGGTCCTATAGTTTTGGCTGGGGACAAAGGGACTCCAAGTGTGGAAAAAAGTGCGGTAGTACTATTGATTGCTGTGGGTGTTGATGACCCTGGCTCTATCAGTAGAAAGTCATCTAGATAGTGAATAACGGAGTGACACCTGATGACATTCAGAAGCAGCCAGCATAGTGACTCAGCGAAAATGTCGAAAAGTTTGGGGCTGCTTCGGGAACCAAAAGTGAGTCGTGTTGAGAAGTAATAATACCCTCGCCATTTAACACCGTGTAAGTGCCAGAGTGAGGGGTGTATGGGCAGTAATTTAAAAGCGTTAGTGATGTCTGTTTTGCTGAGCCAGGGTCGATTACCAGATGTCATGATGGACTGTATGGCGTCGTCGATGGTGACGTACTGCAGAGAGAATTCATCTGCTGGAATGAGTGCGTTTATGCTTGGAACAAAAGAGGAGTGCGGTGCCGATAAATCGATAATGAGACGTTTTTTATTAGAATATTTGTGAATAGCAATACCAATAGGGTTAGTGCGCCAGGAGGAAAACGGTGAAGAGGTGAAAGGACCGATCATGAAACAGTTTGTGGTTTCTGCGGAAATGAGAGTGTCTACAGCGACTGGGTCTAAACGTGCAGACTGGAGATTAGGACATTCTAGTGTACCTGGGGGAATGGCTATTATACCTGTGTGAAACCCTTGTGAGAAACCTGTGGTGAGAAAATCCACTAAGTGCCTGCTGGGGTGACACCTTAGATAAAAAACCAGGTTGTCGATATTTATGTCGGTTAGTCATTTGTTTGGTGACAACCTGGCTGGACACATGGTCTTGGTATGTGCCCTGAAACATATGGGCTGGACACATGGTCTTGGTATGTGCCCTGAAACATATGGAGCAGATGTGCTATAGTCTACAGGCGCTGAAACTGCAGGAGCCTGCGTTGAAATTATTGCACACCTGTGCTTTACCTAAAAAGGAGATGGGCCTACCCAGCTTATCCCGGAGACCACCCGCTGGCTTGTGAGGGGTGAAAGAGGAGTGTGGTGTGAACGTGGGGTGAGGGGTGAGAGTGGAGGTGGTGGGATCTGGTTCGACGGGACATAAGTCCGCCATGTGGGATGTGGAATTACAGATGGCACAAGCCGGGGGGCCTGAGTCCAGCGAAGTGGCGACAGAAAAGTTCAGTGTCCATCTGACCCCAGTTCATTCTAATGTTGAACTGCTTGAGATGGGTCGCCGCCTTCGCTGAGACTGACTTGTGGTAGTCATAGAAGGAAGAGCCCCCATACTTGATGCCTAGATCCACTACCTTGTGGAGATAGAGATCTAGCTCTTCTCTCCTATGGGGATACACCGTGCAAATGACGTCGCGGTATATCCCAAAAGCTATCACAAACTGTGGGATAGACAATTTTTTTATTAAGCCTAGGATCCCTCGTTTTAAGCACAACAGAAATGTCACCATAATTGTATGCCTTGTTCTCGAGTACATCCTGAGAGGCTATGAGTAAAGACACCAGACACACATCCTTCCCGTCAAGGATATCTTTCTAATACGAAATCTAGATGATGTATTTCAAAGAAAATTATGATAACAATATACCCAGGTACTGGAAGTATAGAGGACATAGTAGCTGAAGTACAACCGTAGTATTAGGACACAGTGTGTACCTGAGAAGGTGCTCCACCTTAGACCAACCTACATGAGGAGCCTATGGGTGGCAAGAGCTATCTAGGACATACCTGGCGTGCTGTTGCAGGTAGTTTGTCAGCAAAAAGCTAGTTGCGAGCTTTCGAGGACTTGGTAAATAACAACCTGTAAAGTTCTGCCTTTCTAGCTGTGGCCGGAAAGGGGATTCCCCTGAGCCTAAGCTCGGCTGTGATTTTGGGAATAGTCCATGCTCTCAAGGACGTAGGGGTTGAAAGAGTGAGTGATTCGCCTGGAGACACGGGTCTGATTGGCGTGAATGGTGCTTCTTCTGTCAGTTCTTCGGTTGGAATAGGTTCTTGGGACATTCTAAAAAAGGAATGATTATGTGAAAGATATATTAGAAGGGGAGTGAGGTATGGGGAGTGGTGTGTGTTGAAGAACTGGACTTTAATGCTAGATGCCGAGGCGAAAAACTTAACTGTTGAATGACTGGATAGGTGAGGCCCTGCTAATGCCAAGTGGCGATGAGAGGCTCTACCTATGATTTGGCTTATGACGTAGGTGCCACAGACATGGTGGCGGGATGTTGGCCTCTCGGTGATGATAAGAGAAATCAAAACGTGTGGCCGTGACAGGTGAGGCCCTAACTAGAGCCCTGTAGTAAGGCATACGAGGCTTATAACTATGATTTGGGCGTGGGGCCGTACCTCCGTGTTGAGGTGGGGTGGGGGTGGTAGGCCTCGCGGGATCAGATTTCCTGATAGGGTGGGCTAAGGCATTAGCCTGTGCCGTATAGCCAGTTCGATAGTATGCTAAAGTGTAAAGTTAGAGGACTGGAATGGTGTGTGGATACTAACCTTGACTGGTCGCAAATGGTATCTGGAGCCTCCTGGTAAGTGTAGAGAGTCTGTCTTAAATGTTGTCTTTGAGGAAGAATCCTGGGGGTTTAAGACAGATGTTTGATGTGTTAATACGTATCGTGATGTCGTATGAATAGTATAGGGAGAAGGTTTGTAAGGGGCACGACGTGAGATCCTGCATTGAGGGATCTGGGAGGTTTAGGTGTAGGAATGGGATGATTTTGGATATGAGTGAGAAGGCAGAATGAGGCCTTGGGGTAGCGAATGGACGTACTTGAGTAAGGATGTAAGTACCTGAAGGTATGGCTGAGTACCGTGTCAGGTTTTTGGTGTCTTCTTGAGCCTGGTGGCCGTATGACCGAAAGTCTGTGTAGACAAGTAGTAAAGAGATAACGTATCCTGGGCGTAAGCCTGAGGGAAGGTAGTAATGGAGTTGAGACCGCGTGAGGTCTAGTATTGAAAAGAGAGTGAACTATACCTTTGTTTAAAGTACAGAGATTGTTTAATCGTGGCAGGTTAACTGCGTAGAAACGGTGGAAGCTTAGATTAATACAAGGATCTAAGGGTTTAACCAAGACAAATTCCATAGTTAGCAATAGGTGTGGAGATAATTGATAAAACCTGATAACTCAAGGTGATAAAAAACCATACCTGTTCCTGTAATAAAAGGACCTTGAAATAACAACTTTTAATGCAGAAAAGCAAGAGACCGATGCAATCTGTAAAAGCCAAAAGATGTGACAGCGTGATTTATGTGCAAGGAATAGTACGGATTATGTGTAAAGGGTATAACTTGAAAATAGTGTTTAAAAAGACTTATCTGAGTGTTATTAGGAAAGAATGGTATAGCTTGAATTTAGACACGTATGAAGTTATGAATCGTGGTGAACATTATGTTTATTACAGAAAAATACTTTAAATGGTTTAACAAGGTAGAAAAACAAAGGGCTGGTAGTTAACCATATAATGTAACCGTAAACTCATATGAAGGAATAAATAATAGTAGGACTGTGATTAGAACTTATGCAAGCTTAGCTTAAAAGAATAGAAATAACCGAATGTAAATTAGTAAGATGGTGTACATGAATTTGACCATACGAATAGGTTGGTGCAGAAATAACCGAACGGAAAAGTGAATACAGATAATAATGAGCTTAAACATGAAATATTTATTCGGTTGTTTCCGTACGAAAAAGCATAAAATGATAGCGAAATGAGCCGAACGTTCGTGCGTTTTTTGGCGCGAATGGAGATATTAACGAAAGCGTGTATTCGTGAAAATGCGAAAGAGGGAGCCTACCCCTACGTTTTTAGGCCCGAACGGCGGGGAAATAGCGAACGCTAATTCCCACGCCTTGCTTACGTGAACGCGCCGGTCTCGTGACCGGAAGTCGGGTACCTCGACCGGAGGGAAACGGAGTGGAAGGACCTCGGACGGACGGAGGATTGCACAGGGCGTCTGGCTGCTGGAAACAGGTACAGTTCTGGCGGGAAGCTGGACCGGAAGTGCTGGTTGCTAAGGACAATCAGCTGAGCGGCAGCGGTGAGTAGGGGCTGGGAGCTTAAGTAGGGGACTTACTCCTCCCACAAATTCAGGCCTAATGGCCTTTCTACATATATATATATATATATTAGTGTTTGTGTTATTTTGTTTATAAAATAAAATTAGTAGATGAAAGTATCATTAAAATAGTTAAAAATGCAATTTTTTTAAACATATTAATATAACACAAATAACATTTTTTATAAATGTTTACATTGTACAACAAAAATAAAATAAATTAAATTTTTTAAACATTATATACAACAAACAAACAATGTTGAATAGTTAACATATTTTGATAAAGTAAAACAATTGCAAGGCTACGTACTGTCTACTATACAAGTTCAACAGCTATAGGGTCATCATCTGCATATCTAAAACCCATGTATATCGCATCAGGTGCAGGAAAGTGTGACCTAATCAGTTTTACTGGGCATGAGGGTATCGGACGCCGCCTTTTGGGTCCCAGGTATCCGTACACCCACATTGTGAAGGCAGTTTTTCGGTAGTCACTGTGACCAAAAAAATAAAATAAAGGAAACATTTTACATTGCATATAAATAACCAGACAAAAAATGATTGCCAATGGAGTATAGAATAAAAAATATTAAATTATGAATATAAAATTTAGCATCCAAAACTGTAGAAAGTAAGTAAAACAAAACATAACCAATTGTAGTATTAGAATACTAAAAACAAAGGAGCACTATAGTGACAGGAAAACAATCTCGTTTTCTTGGCACTAGAGGGTCATTAGTGCTCCCCCCCCCAGCGCCCTCCCTCATGATGTGCTGAAGGGGTTAAAACACCTTCAGACACTTTACTTTCTCCAGCACCGAGCTCATTCGGTGCTGGTGACCTCTCCTCCTTCTGCCAACGTCCGCATTACTCCATGTTTTCCTATGGACATCCAGCGTTGTGAGAATTGAGGAAACTCCTCCAGCGACTGTCAGTGAGACAGCCACTAGAGGCTGGATTAAACCTCACTGAAAGCTAGCAGTTTCTCCTACACTATGTTTGGAGCTGCAGGGTTAAAACTAGAGGGACCAGGCACCCTGACAACTTCATTGACTTGGAGTGGTCTGTGTGCCAGGTCCCCCTATTTTTAACCCATTTCGGTGTAAACATAGTTTCATAGAAACTGCTGTGTTTCACTGAGGGTTAATCCAACCTCTAGTGGCTGTCTCACCGACATTCGCAAGAGGAGCTTACACAATTCTAACTGACTGAGAAGACGCTGGACGTTCATAGGCAAGCATGGAGTAATTCTTTCCTTTAGGCTGTTTTCCGAATGCGCAACGCTATAGACACGTATGTGCATTGGTAGCGGACGTTGGCAGGAGGAGGAGAGGTCACCATCACCGGGGGAGCACAACACTGGACAAAGGCTAGTGGCTGACGATGTTTTAACCCCTTCAGACTAGCAGGATTGGTTCCCAAGAGGTTGGGGGGTGACCTAACGACTATATAGTGCCAGCAAAACGAGTTTTTTTTTGTCACTATGGTGCTCCTTTAGAGATTAATGTTGCTTCATTTTTTTCAAAATACATGACCGTTTTAAAGAACAATGCACTGTATTTAGATTTATCATAGACTCACCTTTCCTGCATTTGTTCCGGAGAACGGAATCTAGCGGATTTTACATAGCTGAGACCATAACGGTATAGAGACAGTCGATGACGGTCCTCAAAATATTCTGACAGCTATAAATATATGTAGTAGTTTTTTTTTTAATATGTATTAGATCTTCATAAACACAATAACATTTGTATGAATCCTATTCTGTATTGAATAAATTATGACAGTTAGAGGACCACAATAGTGTTTTGAAAAAAATACAAATGTTTTCTTGTCAATATAGGGCCATTAGGTCCACCCCACCCTCAGGGTCCCACTCCCGCAGGGCACTCGGGGTTAAAACCCCTTCAGCCACTTTTCTTTCTCCAGCACCGTTGCTCCCTCGGCGATGGTGAACACTCCTCCTACTGACATCATTGCCGAATGCGCCTGCGCGGCAACTGCAGTGTACGCATTCCCGCCCATAGGAAAACATTACTCAATGCCAGTGATAAGATGCTGCATGTCAATACTTAAGCATTGAGTAATGCTTTACCATGTGCGTTTAGAATGTTTGCGTTGCATTGCGGCGCATGCGCATTCGTCAATGATGTCGGCAGAAGGAATGTTCACCGTAGCCGAGGGAGCACAGTGCTGGAGAAAGGTAAGTGGCTGAAGGGGTTTTAACCCTGAGTGCCTTGCAGGAGTGGGACCCAGAGGGTGGGGTGGACCTAATGACCCTATAGCGTTTTTTTGTTCTAGGCTAGGAAACAGCTATGTTTACAGTTGCAGTGTTGACACTAGAGCAACCTGGCACAAAGACCACTCCATTGAGCTGAAGTGGTCTGGGTGACTATAGTGGTCCTTTAAAATTCATTCACCATGAAAACATCCATCAGGCAACCTAATGTAACTGAATTGAGATTAATGCAGTGGTCCAGTCCTTTTTATCCTTCAATGCAAAATAATACCAATTGTCTCCAAGGCCAATGATTATCTCATTGCTTAGAAAATCGGCTAGACTTATGAGATCTTTTTTTTTTTTTTGGTAATTGATATTACTAAAATAGGGTGAACATGAAAAATGTAAGTCACTTATGTAAACTTACCATACGTTGGATGTCCGCATCATTTGGACCTGTTGAATCTGAACTATTTCCACTTGCCATTTTTTTTACTTAGCTTTTAAAAAAGAAGAAATCAATGAAAATAAGCAGAAGAAGAAACATTTCTAGTACATTATAGTAATTTTATTTTTTTTGTTTTTATTACGACAGACATTGTGTGTTGCTGGCATCATGTGAGTGGACGAGATGATCAATAAAGAGTCCAGTCCTCACATTTTTGAAGAGGCAGGTAAAACAATTTTTAAAAATTAATTAAAGGACCACTATAGTGCCTGGAAAACTCTCATTTTCCTGGCACTATAGTGCCTTGAGGGTGCCCCCACCCTCAAGGTCCCCTCCCGCCGGGCTGGATGGCGAGGAAAGGGGTTAAACTTATCTATTTTCCAGCACCGGGCGGGGAGCTCTCCTCCTCCTCTCCGCCTCCGATCATCCTCTTTGTCTGAATGCGCATGCGCGGCAAGAGCTGCGAGCGCATTCAGCCTGTCTCATAGGAAAGCATTTCCAATGCTTTCATATGGACGCTTGCCTCTTCTCACTGTGATTTTCACAGTGAGAAGCACGCAAGCGCGTCTAGTGGCTGTCAATGAGACAGCCACTAGAGGATTTGGAGGCTGGATTTACCCATTTATAAACATAGCAGTTTCTTTGAAACTGCTATGTTGATATAAAAGAAAGGGTTACTCCTAGAGGGACCTGGCACACAGACCACTTCATTAAGCTGAAGTGGTATGGGTGCCTAGAGTGGTCCTTTAATAAAGTTAATTAGAGGATCACTGTAGTGTCTGTAAAACAAAGCTGTTTTCATGACACTATATAATCTTTGGTGGAACATCTCCGTCAGGGTCCACATCCCGTGGCGCTGAAGGTGTTAAAACCGCTTCAACAGCTTAGTTAAATTCAGCGCCGGGCTCCCTCGGCGCTCGTTATCTCTCCTACCCCACTGAAGTCAGCTCATGAGTGGTGCGTAATGCGCATG